CTGGAATAGAGGAGCCACTTTAAGACAACTCATATTATGACTCAGCTTTTGTCCTGTCATTATCTTCCTTATAGGTCTTCAGTGGTTCCACATAGGCCTCAGGTTGATGTCCAGCCATCTATGCCTATTTGTTTTGTTTTGTTTTTGTTTTTTGAGACAGGTTCTCTTTGTTACCTGGGGCTACAGTGCGGTAGCATCATCATAGCTCACTGCAACTTCAAACTCCTGGGCTCAAGTGACCCTCCTGCTTCAGCCTCCCAGAGTAGGTAGCTCACACTACAGGACTGCACCACCATACCCAAGTAATTTATCTATTTTTTTGTAGAGACAGGAGTCTTGCTTTCTTGGTCAGGCTGGTCCCAGACTCTTGGTCTCATGCAGTCCTCCTGCTTGGCCCTGCGAAATGCTGGAATTATAGCCGTGAACCACCTCACCCAGCCTGAATAATTTTTTTTCTTTAACACCTGTTTATATTATGGTCATTGCTACAGAGTGTTAGCTTAATAGTGGATTAACTGAACATGTCATTTCCAAGCTATTGCTCATTAAAATGTATAAATGAAAAATTCAAACACCAGGAAAGGAAAGCAGGGCAATTTTCCCCAAATAACTTTGAATCTACAGATGTAATTCCAAGATTATCCGACGAGCCATCTATCACATGGACTACTGTCTCTTGAACAGCATTCAGGTATGAGATTTGAGAGAGGAAATTCAGATTTAGGCTGTAAGTGTTCGAGGATATTTAGCCTAGAGAAAATGAAACTTTATTTTTAAATGTGGTGCTTATCACTAGCGCAGTCACCACTACAGATACAACATCCTTCCAGCATTTTTATAGTGACATCAACCTTAGCTGCTAAGGCAATTGCTACGGGGCAGGGGAGGGGGGTTGACAAAAGAACCTGCAGCCCTTCCTTCTTTTTATAATATGCCACAGTAACTCAAAGGTTCAAGGCAGCACAGAGTCTTCTAAGAAAAGGATCCTGAGGTTCATCTAGCTGGTCTTGCCACTTTGGGTGAGAAGCTGGGCTGCTTTCCTCCTGTCTGAACTTAAATTTTTTTTTTTGAGACAAAATCTCACTCTGTCGCCCAGACTGGGTGCAGTGGCCTGATCATACCTCACTGCAACTCCTGGCCTCAAATGATCCTCCCACCTCAGCCTCCTGAGTAGCTAGGACTACAGGTGTGTTCCACCATGCCTGACCTGAACCAATTTTTTTTTTTTTTTTTGAGACAGAGGCTCTTGTGGCCCTGCGTAGAGTGCAGCGGTGTCACCATAGCTCACTGCAACCTCAAACTTCTGGGCCCAAGTGATCCTCCTGCCTCAGACTCTCAAGTAGCTAGGACTGCAGGAGCTCGCCATTACATCTGGCTAATTTTTCTACTTTTGGTAGAGAGGGAGGCCTCACTCTTGCTCAGGCTGGTCTTGAACTCCTGACCTCAAGAGATCCTCCTGCCTCGGCCTCCCAGAGTGCTAGGATTACAGGTGTGAGCCACCACGCCCAACCCTCAACCTAATCTTAATCTGATTTTGTGCCTTCCCCTAATTGCCTGATGGGCCATAGATCTTCCATCAACCTCCTGTCCCTGGCCAGGATATTCAAAGATCAACAAAGGTACATTCCAAAGCTGGCAGTGGGCAATGTGGAAAAGGAGTTCTAAGTCCATCACCCTACATACCCTGTTCTTGGGCTGGCCAAGCCATTCTCAGAAGGAAGGCACTGGGTTTCTGATGAGAGCAAAGAGAATGCTGTCGAGCTCCTCACACCAGTATAGGAAGTATACAGCCATGTGATGCCCGTGGCAGGAGCTCCTGTTGTTGTTAACAGGAGCCTGGAGGCGTTAGGTCACAACATAAAGTTATTTTGAACTATAACGGTGGTTTTCCTAAGAGGAATTTCTGGGGGTTCCCGGGAGCGCCGCGGGCTGCGAGCCCCTCGCGTGCCGGGAGGAGGCGCGCGCTGCCTTGGGAACGCCCCCAGCGCCGCCGCCCGGGAACCCGCCGCGGTGACGTACGGAGGAGCAGGGTAGGAGGCGCGGGTGAGCGCGCCCGGGGTTAAGAGCTCGAAGAGGAAACCTCTCGCTGGAGTGGAGGATTGCTGCGGGCCGCTCGCCCGCGACTGCGGGGCTGGCAGGTGCGAGGCGTCTGCACCTGGCGGGAGATGGCACCGGGCGCGAGCGCCCCGGGGTAGCGCGGGCGAGGCTGCTGGGCCCCGGAGCGCACGCACGCCCCCCTCCCCGACCTTGGCGTTGGCCCAGCCCGGCCCAGGCAGCTATGGGGCTCCTGCGGCTGCTGGTCCTGGCGGTGCTGGCGTCGGAACGTGGGGTGGCTGGTGGAGCCGAGGCCTTCGGGAACTCCAGCGAGGGTAAGGTCGGGGCGTCTGGCTTCTGCAACCCAAAGTTGCTTTTGCATTTCTGGCAAGGGCAGAATTCGCTCGGTTTCTGTCCACCTGGCAGGAGAGGTCGTGCCAGAGGCATTGCTGCACGCTGGGTAGTGAGTTCAGAACCGGCACGAATGGACCAGACTTTTTTTCTGCAGTGGATACTCCCATTGCTAAGGAGGCCTTACTGTCAAACTCTTAATTTAGGCTGGGGAAATGGGAAGAGATAAGTAACTGTCTTTTTCAGACGCACTGTTATCTCCCTTAGGAAGCAGCCATGTTTGTGCCCTTAATCTAACATACTAAAGCGCTCCTTTACTCCTTGGTGGACTGTCAGCTTCTGGACAGTGAGACTTGGTGGAGAATTGAGAGCTTTATGATTGGTGCCCCTTCAAGCTGCATCAAGCTTTTACACTCCAGTATCCATAACCAAAACCATAAACCATAACCATTGGTTCTGCAGAGTTTGAGAGGAAAAATGAACCCAGAATGGGACTTTTTTTTTTTTTAAGCCTTTACGATCTAATATATTAACGCTATTTGGAGATAGGAAACATTCCACACTCA